TGATCGAGTATTCTACAGGAGTATCACCAGGTTCTAAACATGGTAGAGAGACACAATATAATTACTATCCAATGGCTAAAAGGACACAGTAGATCACGTTGAAATGAAGCAGCTGATAAAGTGGCATGCAGAGGATCAGACGCAACACTAATAGGCCCCTAACCGATCATTCCTATTCCGGTAAGCTGGTTAAACACACTCTCCACACGCAAAATAAGCGCAGTTTGGTCGTCAAGTTGCGGAGACGCCCGTTGAACGAAGAAAAAGAAACTCTTCGTATCAACACTAGGAAATATAAACCCCGAAAAAACGAATTTTACACTAGAGTTTAAAAATTTCATATATATTTTTAATACCACATGAAAATACAGCCTTAAACTTATATTATAAGGAGGAAATATTTGATTGTTTGTTTGAATCGAATATGCTCAGAAACTACTGGACCTATTTCAAAAATTCTTTCACCTATGAGTGGGTAGCTGCTTTATACAGGGTTGGCATAGGCTATAATTTAGGCGTGTGAAGTGGCGGGACAATAGCTAAAATTAGATACAAGTCAAAGTTTTACTCAGGATAAAAACATAAAGAATTACTTGTTGGATTTTGTTTCGCCAGTTCTATAGAAAAAAACCCGATTCATAATGTAGATAAAAGAGTTACGTTTTGGTAACAATGAAATAAGTTTCCTTTAGTAATTACGTGTTCCTTTCGGTGAAGCAGTGGTTAGCGCGCACATTTAGCAACTTTCACAACGGTCACTATAAGTGGGCTGAACAGATCTCGACCTCTTTGCTTCAGAAAGTACGTTAAACAATTGCTCCCGCATCGCATTACATCTGCAGTCGTTAACACCCACCAATCCGCCTTAAGCCTCATTGTGGGTCATAGCTCTCCCTATTCGATTCCATTAATAGGGAAGTTCGGTGGCGTTGCAAAGCGACCTTTGCGAAACGGAATGGATCACCAAAAAATTATTATCGCGAGCTATTCCGTGCTTTGGAAAATATGTTACGTCGTTAATCCTGGCTGCATTTACAATCGTTAATACCCTCCAATCGGCATTAGGCCAGCTTGGAGTGACATGGCCAAGCCTCCTCTGCCATCAAGGCCTGAATTCCTGCAGTGGGGACCTATCAAGGCTGATAGAGAAGACCTGTACCCAGCAGTGGGAACATAAATAGGTGGACGATGATGTTGAATTATATTATTAAATCAAAATTTTATAAATCTTCTAAGGAAAGTTTTTATTCTGTAATGGGCGCAGTCATTCAAATTGAAATGCTAGTCAGCCTTCTCGTATGTCTAATGTTAACAAAGACATTGCGGTTATTAATATCGCTAATTAAAGGAGAGTAAGTTTATAAGGAGTGTGTATACCCACTATGGGACTAAGGCAAAGGATTAATCCTATAACAAAGAAGCAGATGTTTTGTGTAAGTAAGTGATATGAGCCGTCAAACTTCAAAATCAGTTTTTGGAATATACATATGTATTGCTATTAAGATAAGTATTTTTAACTTTGAAGTCTGTTTTATTTACAGTTACATAAAACCAATTTTACGACTTACGTAACTATTTAAAATAAGCAGCCGACACATCAATGTTTTTTTTTTCACTTCCATGATTAAATAATTAAAAAAATTGCTCCCACGTCTTGGCTAAGTGCTTATAGCTCTTGAACTGCTAATCCGATTTTAATATACCTAACCACTTTCGATTAAAAAGAATCACACTCTAATAGGGCTTTTCATTCAGGAACTGTGGTGCTATAGACAAACGCACTAATAGCCATACAGAAAGACAGTTGAAACTTATAATAGCTCTCTTTTGGCGTCTGGAGTAAAAAATATGATAAAACACGAAATGCTGTCTTCCTTGCAATACTCAAATACGTATGCGAGCAGGACAGTAACGATTATTTGTTTTTATCACTATTAGATGTTTTCCCGCGACTATGTCCGCGTAAATTACAGCGTATATCACCCGCGTGTGAGCTTTCCGTAGGTGTAAAAAATTTTATGATCGAACTAGGATTAACGGTCATAATAAACGGTTACTAAAGACCTTGGTCCCTCATTAGGAAAACAAACCATGTAGAGCTGGAGGCCTACTCGCTTTCTCGAAAACGAAATTTCGCATGTGACGCTACTCTTTATCATTTTCGTATACACCAACGATGTTCGATTCCAAAGACAATTTTCGTGATCGATTGGAGTGAATGGCGTTATTGGATTTCTTATAATGTCAATTCCGGCTTTTACCGTAACTTGAAATATATAATATTAAACAATACATATATTTCTTTTAAATAAAATTTTAGTGGCTAAACATTGTTTAAACATAAAATATTATAATATATAACGAAAAACTAAGTATATTAATGAATTTTATTTTTCGATACAACTGATCAAGACACTATAAAGAACTCTTTTATCCAAAGTATTAACCGACATATTTAAAAACAACCTTTCATTTATACGATGGTTATAATCAACGTACGGCAATCTTAAATATCCGTATAATACAAAGGATTCTCATTTCGCCAAAAGTTTTACAAGTTTCACCAAACTGTTCAGTGTTTACTAATATTTTATTTTATTATTGTGAGTTCCGAAATTTATCTTGACAATTCAGTAAAAAACTTTATAAGTAAGTGTTGGCATGCAATTTTTTTATCAAGAACTACGATTAAATATCTACCAACTTTAATTGTGGACTCGATGGCATGAGATCTTGCCTGTGGACGCAGTAAAGGTATAATCTCCTGGCATAGTTCTTGAAATAATTCACAACTGAGTCTGTAATTACTTACAAACTCAGTGTCGAGAATATTTCTTATATTAGGGCTATTTCGAAGCCGCCGCCGATTTGTTCTACGTTCTCTACTGAGAGCTGACTCGATTAATAGTAATATAGACCCCATTTCGAAAATAAAAATTGCTAAAGAAAATGAAAAGGTAACATTTTTTACTTCGTCAATTTGAGGTAAGAATTCCGAATAATTAGATGTCAAACTCAAATGTTCGTTTCGTTATTTCGTGAAATAGAGTAGGTTTAGAAAATAAATATGTCAAACATTTTCGTTCGTTGAATTTTCGGAATGAACGTCATTGTGGTAGGAAACGTCCGAAATTTCGAACGATATTTCGTTTTTCGGTGAATTAGCCTAGGCTTCCACCGCTATGTGAAAAGCTAAAGATTTTCACCGTTATTGTGAGTGGATAGTTCTTATAAAAAGCTTTTCCTTATAACGGAACTGGAGGAGATTTTCCTTTCTCTTTTAATGAAATTCTTATAAACTATTACTTCCTTACAATCACTAAAACCTTAGCACATATAATAAGGGAGTCCCCTAATATAAATTACTTATGCGTGTTACTATAGTGTAGTTACACGGGTAAGTAATTAAAAATATTTAAAAATATGTAAAGTAAAACTTTACATATTATTGCAGTATGTCACCAACTTTATGTTTTATTTCATATTTCAAACCAATAATCTATCTTAGGAATAATTATTACGAAATCTACCAGTCCCAGGTGCCCGACAATGTGATTTGAAGCAAAATATCAATATAGCATTGTAAATACAAGTTGATCAAATATAATATACCTACCAAAAAAAAAAGAGTTGTAAGTTGAATTCGTTACGTTAAAATTATTCTTATTAGCTTGACAGCGCAGTCTGCGACTTTCGCATTGCTGAGAAAATAAGGATTGTAATATTAAACACATCGTAGTATTGTTTCAAAGTGTCAAATTCAGTCGTCAGTCATATTGTGATCTATTAAAAATTAAATTTAACGTTAAATATTTTTTTTAATATGTAGGTATTTATATGAGATGTTACCTAGTATGTCTTTTTATTTAAGAAACAATCTACGGTTATTAGAATAGACTTGTAATAGTGTACATGCAATTTATATTTAACGAATTAATTTATTCACAGAACAGTACTATTTGCAGAGAGTGTCTATATTCCTATAATCTATGAGATATTCTATAAAAGTGATACAATGTCACTTGTCCGGAACTGGAACATCCGTGTTTGAATTAAATCTTAATAAAAAAAGCTGGTTTGACTAGTCCTGAATAAGATATTTGCTAATTTTACGGGGCATTATGTTTCGAGATGCGGTATGAGCGATGACATTTAATTAGGAAAAGTGATTAACATCCGATTTCTGAATGGATAATTGAAAATTAAGAACGTCTCAAAGTGTACTTAAACGTCATAGTTGAAAGCAGTTAGTTAAAACTAGGATTTTTTGATTTGTTAAGCGTAAAGAACTTAAGTTATTGAGGATAATCAGTTGTGTTTTTGTACTTTTCTCATTTCAAAGAGGCCTCGTTTAAGTGTGGTTAAGTATAAGAGTTTTTATTACAAAATGTAAGTTGAGAAACATTCTTCAGTAGAGAAGGAAACGGTTCAAGTTTTAAAAGTAAACTTATAGGTGTGAAACTATTCTTATACCTACATATTACATGTTAATTGTGATCTCAAGGGACCAAAGATCTTGTATCATTTTAAGAGGTTCCCATTTATTCAGTTTTCCAATTGGACATGTTTAAAATTTTGTTGTCTCATTAGTTCCGTCTTATAGAGGCCGACCGTTATTCCATTTATAAAGGTTGAAATGTAAAATAAATGCGTTTTTTGGTATTATAAATTAAGTTTATGTAAGTATTTATTTTATATAAAAAAAAACAATACAGTAAAAGTGTCGTCGTGTCAAAACCTGTCCTAACCTAAAAAAATGTCTCTCTTATATAGGGAAGTGAGCTTCATAGTCCCAATTATAGAGGATTTATAGAGGAAAAAATCCTAGAAATCAAATCTCATTTAACCCGGTTTGAAAAGTCCCATTGACAGAGGTAATTCTATAAAAGAAGTGCCGGGACATCATTACAGTTCTCAATAATAGAGGTTTCTGACTTATCCAGGTCCCCTTAACCAGAATTCACTGTATTTAAATAGAATATAAAGAACAAATAACTTACCGTCATCACGAAAAGCGGTGTTACGTAGAGAAGTCCAAAATTTATCATGTCGAATAGTTCCGAATTGTATTTCCGTCTGTGTGATATACATATGGTCTCAGTGCGGCCATCGCCCAAACTGTTCTTTATAGTCTCCACCCAAATGAATTTAGGGGCACTGTACGCTGCACTCGTAATCCAAACACCGACAATTACCAACTGTAAAAAAGGAAAATTGGTTTATGTATTAATTAAAAAATATATCACCTTTTCCTAAATATACTATTTTTAAAAACGATAAATTTATAGTGATTTTACAAAGAGGTAAGGTTTGATTGTTTGTTTGGATCGAATAGGTTTCGAAATTTAAAATGTCCTGCGAAAATAATCAGTCACTGTATATTTCGAGGTGTGGCGTTACGTTTAAATAAACATGAGTACTGGTTGCACTCACAACAATGTGACGTTACACGATGTTCCATCACACTCGTTTCGATTCTTGTAATAAAGTAATTAAAAAATAATTATCTTGTTATTAAAAAATAAAGTTAATTATGCAAAAATAAAATATAATTACAATTTATTTTAAAACAAAAATACTACAATGTTATTATTTACACGTAAGTTACCATTACCAACATGTTTCATACTTTATTATAATAGGGGTCAAGAAACCTTGCAGTCCTGCATCGACTGATCAGTAAGGATGGAAAAATGTAATTGAGACTTATTTCTACTTACACTCCAATTTAATACTGACTTTAATACTACTTGCACTCAAAATTAAAATACTGCGTATTTTAACATCAAAAGAGTTAAGAAAAAAAGGTTGGACGCCATAAATTAATGACGGGCGAGTTTTTCAATCGTAAATGAGAAAGGCTCAGGTCTCTCACTCACGAAATATCGTGAAATAATTTTTAATGTTTTCACCATCCCTCTTTTTAAAATAACCACTCATGTTTCTATGTTGTTTACTGTCGAATTACGTAGATGTAATGAGTTTTAAATACCGTTACTAAATTAAATACCGTTTTGTTGTAGTACGAGGGTCAAACTGAAAGTTCTTAGAAAATCAAAAACTGATTACATTAGCCAGTTATTAGTTTTATTATATCTTTTCAAAATATTGTCCATTCACGTCAATACACCGCTGCATGCGATGGAACCACTGGGAAAAGCACTTTGCCCACTCGTCCTTAGGGATCTCTTCAATGGCATCGCGATACGCAGCCACCGCTTCTTCAGCATTCATAAACCGCTTTCCTTTAAGTTTTTCTTTAATTTTTGGAAATAAATAAAAATCACAAGGCGCGAGGTCGGGGCTATACGGCGGGTGACCCATTAATTCAACGTTTGATGTCGCCAAATAGTCGATCGTTCGCTTGGCGGTGTGCGACGAGGCGTTGTCGTGGTGAAGGAGGATCCTACTGCGAGGTCGTTTCTCTCGAACTTTTTCCAAGACAAGTGGCAAACAATTGGTAGTGTACCATTCTGCAGAAACTGTTTTTTGATCCTCTAACACAATTGTTGCAAAATGACCTATCCTTCCAAAGAACGAGGCCACCATTTTTTTTCCCGCACTTCGATCTCTCTTCACTTTAGTTGGCAACTCCTCGAAAGGAAACACCCACTGAGCAGATTGTCTTTTGGTTTTAGGATCATAACAGTAAATCCAGCTTTCGTCACCTGTTAGTATGTCGAACACAGCATTTGAGTCACCTCCGTTAAATCTTTCAATCATTTTACGACACCAATCCACACGATGGAGTTTTTGAGCCTCAGTCAAATTATGAGGTATCCACCGGGCGCAAAGCTTCCTGACCGCTAAATGTTCGTGGAGGATTTTGTGCACTTGACTCATACCGATGCCTAAGCTTGTCCGAATCTGTTGATAGGTCACTCTTTTGTCAGTCTCTATCATACGCCGCACAACACAGATGTTATCTTCAGTCGTCGCCGTAGAAGGCCGTCCCTCACGTAAATCATCAGTGAGATTAGTGCGACCACGTTTAAACTCATTAAACCAGTTGTAAACAGTCGCACGAGATGGGGCTTCATCGTGAAAGGCCAATCGTAGTCTATCATAACTTTCTTGTTGACTTAAATGACATCGAAAGTCATAAAAAATCATTGCACGAAAATTTTCTCGTGTTAAATTCATGATGACGTGACAAAGACAATTTTCAATTTGCCGCCAAATCGTAAAACAAATGACAAATGAATGAAATATATACTCAGTAATATTGGCAAAGAGTTATATTTTCAAATTTTAGAATTATTTTTTTATTATATTGTTTATAAGTGGCCAGTTCTAAGAACTTTCAGTTTGACCCTCGTAATAATTGTTGAGGGTGCTAACAATATTTCAACGTAAAAAAGATACTGTAATTGCTATTGTTTTAACTGTGACAAAAGTCCATATTAAAACAGTTTTATTAAATTAGATATTTAGAATTAAGTGCTGTTTGTTATATATCAGACTAGTTTGTGTATATAAGGCTTGCTCTTAAACACTCTGTATATTGACGAAAACCGCATTAAAATCCGCTTTGTGGTTAAGAAGATCTCAGCGTATAGACAGCGGGAAGCGATCTTGTATATATAGACATATGTATTCTATGTACAGATTTGTTAATTAACTAAAACTTTATGTGGATTACATTACCGATTCTCATTTACAAGTCCCAATTAAAATCCGAGTATCGTATATAATTTGTAATAGAATAATGAAAGTATGATTATTCTTTAACAAAACAACGTTGCACACATTACGCTGACCCAATGTAAGAGTTAAATTGCAAAAGGATGGATAGATGTTGACGAGTAAGAGATTGGAGATTCAAAACATGAAGAGACATTTAGACAATAAATCTTTGGTCACCCATTTTCGTTATTAAAATATATAAATCAATTATATTTTTGAAATTTATGACCTTGTTTTCTATTCACAAATGATACGTTTTCGTCGGAATATAGTTAAATTTAAATTTTGTAGATACCCACACTCGAAAGACGTGATATATATGTGCTCGGTATATTTGTTTTCTTGACATATTTGACTATTTATTGTTCTTACTTACCAAAATATTCTAAAGTATAATACTATTTTTTAAACTCCCTTTGTTTTCTACCTCGTACATTGTCGTTCCTTTCTGTAATTTTAACCTTTCAGATTGTTTCTTAAACATTTTTAATCACAAGTTATTGAAGAGGAAAAATACGTGTGGTTTGGAAGACATTAAAACGATCGATAAATGAGTTATCTTGAATAAAGATTATTTTGACTTTTGAGTAGGTAATGACAGAGCGTAGCCAATAAAGATTCTTTTATTTAAATAAAAATTATTAAAATAAATTTTCAACTGTGGTGGGGACTGCAACTATAATAACCTTCGGGAGAGATATGAATTACAGATGACCACGGCATGTATTTTTACTAAGTTAGGGACTTTTTATTATTAGCTAAATAGTAATTACAGAAAATCAAAACAATAAAATAAACTAAAAACTGCTAACACAAGTAGTTACATGTTAATATCGTTCATTTGAGATGTAATTAAACAGGTTTGTTAACTAATATTAAAAAATATCTTAATATTTACCCGAAGTCTGGTGGAAGTAAGAATCTGCTTGCACGTTATAGGATGAATAATAGCAAAATATCTTTCAGTGCAGATCACGACCAAGATGAATATAGATGCGGTGTAGCTGAGCGAGTGCACGAACTGGTACATCTTGCATAAAAAATCGCCGAACACCCAACTGCAAAAGAAACGTTTTCTTAAAAAGAGCGCACACCTAAATGCGAATAGCTAATAGCATTTTTTTTTTCAAGATTAAATAGACTCCAAAATCGCTCAATGAAAATCATTAACATTACCCCCCTTACTTTAAAAGGAGGAGAGGGGTTGTGAAGTTAATTAATTAACCAACCCTTAAATAGAGTTGAATTGTTTTTTACTTTAATTTGTGACATCAATTGGCATATGTAATATAAATTAAACTTAATTAAAATTAACTTAATATAAATTAAATTAAGTATTTATTGCCCAAAAAAAATGCATAAGATCCATATGTGGTATCGCTCCCGACGTCTCATTTAAGCAATGGTTTAAATTTCTTGGTATTCTACCTCTTCCTTGCTTATATATATTTGAAGCAGCGAAATTTGCCAAACGATACCCTGATTATTACAAAATACCTCATGAAGTGTGTATCACAGGAACACTAGAAATAAAAATAGGCTAGTTCATGACATAGTCCCAAAAAGCGCGCGATTTAAAAATAACTGCTACTGTATGTGTCAAACAATATTTAATAAGATTCCGGAATCTATAAAGAATACACCTTTTACTAGATTTAAGAGAGAGTTATATAACTGGCTTGCTGAGCGTTCCTTTTATTCGTTGCATGAGTTCTTAGACTATAGAAACTGAACGGTAACCTGGGTGGATTAATCAGTTCTTATAGTATCTTATTTTACTACATTTGCATGCTATTGTTAATGGCTGAATAGGCGATAATTGTATTACCTTTTACATCTCTTTTGTATACCCTATTCAAACGTAAATAAATTATTATTATTATAAAAATCAATTATACGATTGTAGTTAGTCGAAATAAATAAACTATTATTACTCTTACTAAACTCTTCAAAGACATTTATTCTCATACAAACATAGTTATGTTTACTTACATTGAGATAAACAATATTAATAAAAGCTAATATTACTGAGCTAATATGAATACATTTTTTTATGTTGTTAGTTATTTATTGTAATATTAAACACTCTCAAAAAATATTGTTTTATTTCCTTAATTTTCATTTATATTTAAAAATGACAAAATATTTGTTTCTAGGGCTCTAAATATAAGTACTTCCAAAATTACTAAAAGAAATACAATATCTTATATACGATATAATATGACAAAAGATTACGTTAAGAAATAATATTTCAAATAGGTACACGAACTCGTACTTAATATGATAAAAATAGAAATGTTGGAATGAAGAGGTACATGTATGCTTAGTAACAGACATGATTTAACATTAATAATGATATATCATGGCACTTAAGATGTAACAAAATACCACGAATTTTTATATATCGGGATGAGTATTTGTTGGTGACCTGCTACGCAAATCTTTTTGGCATGTTTATTTTCTAAATTCTCAGTTTTTAAATAAATGTTATTCATACTTATAGCCTTACAAAAACAAATGTAAAACTTCAGTGAGAATACCAATATACGGCTGTGACGATGTTTTTTCGTAGTTTCCTTTAAAATTACCTGGTACCCAAATCTCTATCTTTTTTAGTATTTATAAACCGTGTGTGTACTGGCCTAGAATAGCAGCACCCCCTCACGTCCGTGGGTCGTACAAGGCTACTAAGGGAACACAGCTATTTGGAATTAGGCAGCAGCGTTTCCTAAGAACTGAACCACCTGCCAAGCGTGGTGAATGTGGCAATTTCCCAAGTTCTCCAAAACCCGTCATCCCAGAACAAAGAAACTCTCTGATAACACACTTCACTTCATGCAAATGAGACACGAAATGAGGCTACAAAACTCAATGGATGCAAGTCGTTATCGGCTGCTTAATAGGCATATATCAAAGTCCTTGGCAAGCGACCTTTGCCGATTTAATACGGAATGTATTAAAGAGACGATTGAGTGGAACAAAGGCTCCAAAGTGTTCGCGAAAGATATGCCTATCGGGAAAATCCAATTGACGAGGCCGATATCTGAAGACGGAAGCAACATCTTGTCAAAAACAGAAATCTTAAAGAAGATCGAGAGTTTCTATGGACAGCTGTACTTTACGCAAACACCCAACGGCAAGGCAAGAGATAGATTCTAGAACCAAGTTATCCGACACTTTACCGAAAATATCCCGGACGTTGGACTGTATGAGATTAGTATGGCTTAAACAACTGAAAAACAACAAGGCAGCGGGTGACAACGGAATCACCTCACAGCTTCTGAAAACGGGCACTAAGCCGTTATTCTTGAGGGTAAAACGCCCAAGGGAATAGAAAGCATAGAGTGGGAGTGAGGTCGTCCTGATTTTCAAAAAGAGTGATAAAGCACTCATTGCAAACTATAGGCCGAACTCACTCTTGAGCCATGTTTATAAGTTTGTAACGGTGTGCCATGCCACCGTTTGTTTTCCTAGGTTTCAGTATGCAAGATTTTTGTTTTTGAAATTCAACATCATTTCATTTTATTATTCGTCTTTCGTAATTTAAAATTTTGACTAATCAATTATACTCTTTATGGATGTCAGTTCGTAAGAAATTCTCCTATGCACAAGATGAAATTATAATACAATACAATATTAATGGTATAAATTTTACTATGTAATTTTGAAATAATTCATTTATTGTGATAAATAATGTGATATGGTGATACAAATTATATAACATATGTAACTACTAAATTGTAATCTGTATTTTGATCGATCCAAAAGTTAACTAGAAGCCCGACGAGGGTTTTTTCTTATTACCCTTATTTAACTAATAAATATATACTCAAGCTAAGCAGCCTTATTAATTGACCCAAGCACCGAACCCGTAACACTGGCGCCGCAACGTGGTTGAAAAATAGGCTGACTACTGCAATAGAAGACAATAGTGCACACTTTACGACCAACACCACAAACACATTTACTCACATAATCAGACAATAGACGTTCAGCGTTACTTTGGCTGGTCACAAATGTGATCGGTTCTGATGCCATTGTATCGAGGAACATACAAACACGTACTCAACATAGTGTTATAAAACAGGAAAATTTTAATAGTAAATAATTTAATTTAGATTCCGTATATATAAAGGTACGTAAGCTATTTTTATTTTTTTCAAAAAATTTTACGAGATTTCTTTTTGACAAATAATATTATTTTTAATATTTAAAAAATAGAATATTGTAATTTATTTTCCGTTTACGATTTGACATTCAATTCTTTTATAATAATCAATTTTAATCATGGATATATCGTACTTGAATAAACCAGAAATTATTTATGAACTGAAATTACGAAACGCGAATTTTGAATCCACCCAAACGGCTCAAGAATTGCGTGAAATTTTATTACCAATGATAGGAGACCTTGAGAAATATTCTTGGATTACTTATTTATTTATTGTTACTACCCTGTAAATACTCATAACGTTTTCATTTAATTATTTGGCTACTCATACTTATTGTTATTTTTATTATCTTCATAATTTATTATTTTCATCTAGTGCGGTTGATAACACTATAAATAAGCCAATATCAAAATATTTCTTTGTGTACTTATGTATACTTATTTACTTACTATCTAACACTACATAATGTATTGTTATACCTAATGCATTACCTACTTTATTTATTACTACGATTGTATATAATTCTACACTCTACATTTAGACACTTACACAACACACTCATCTACACTCAACAACACTACACAATTCACCTAAAGTCAGCGGGTGGTGACTGACATTATTTTAAAGAAGCCTATACTATTTTCTGGGTCGATTTATTAGAGATAATCTTTCTTAAATACAAGTTACCTCTAATCGCTAGGAATTTTTATCTCAATAAGATAAAGATTGTTTGAATGATGAAGTAAGAACATTTTATGAAAGGGAAATCGCCTAATGTAATTTATCCACTATATATACCATCCCCATTTCTAAACTAAATCATGATAGCATTAATTAATCACATTTTATATAAAATATTTTAAGCTTGAGTAATCCAAAAATATCTAAAAAAAATCTTTAAGATTTTTTTTTAACCCCGCCCCCCCCCCCCCCCCCCCCGGTATTGTAACGGTGTGCCATGCCACCGTTTGTTTTCCTAGGTTTCAGTATGCAAACTTTTTGTTTTTGAAATTCAACATCATTTCATTTTATTATTCGTCTTTCGTAATTTAAAATTTTGACTAATCAATTATACTCTTTATGGATGTCAGTTCGTAAGAAATTCTCCTATGCACAAGATGAAATTATAATACAATACAATATTAATGGTATAAATTTTACTATGTAATTTTGAAATAATTCATTTATTGTGATAAATAATGTGATATGGTGATACAAATTATATAACATATGTAACTACTAAATTGTAATCTGTATTTTGATCGATCCAAAAGTTAACTAGAAGCCCGACAAGGGTTTTTTCTTATTACCCTTATTTAACTAATAAATATATACTCAAGCTAAGCAGCCTTATTAATTGACCCAAGCACCGAACCCGTAACAAGTTGTTCTAAAGGGTCACTACGTATTGTGTCGCTCACAAGCTCGATGATATATCAGCTCGATAGCTGGACCATATTCATACGCTGCGACAAGTTATACAGAAGTCGAAAGAGTAAAACCAGCCACTCTGCTTGACGATCGTGGACTACGAAAAAGCGTTTTTCGATTCTATCGAGACATGGGCGATGGTGCAGTCTCTCCAAAGGTGCCAAGTGGACTATAGGTACATCGAGGTACAAAAGTGTCTGTATAAAAATGCTACTATATCGGTCCGTTTACAAAACCGGAACTCTAATCCTATCCAATTGCAGTGGGACGCAAGGTCTCTCCAAAGCTATTCTCCATCACGTTGGAGAATATCTTCAAGCTTCTGGATTGGAAACGATACTGCATCAATATAAATGGCGAGTATCATACACAACTATGCTTTTCCGATGATGTAGTCCTAATGGCTGAGACCTTGGAAGACCTGAACACCATGCTTGTAGATCTCAGTAGTGTAT